ATGATACAGGGTAGAGGAACGTCTGCCTGGACGGGGCCAGCCAGGGGATGAGAGGTGCCTGCTCCCCCCTGCCCTCTCTGCAAGCTGCTATTATAGGGGCAGGCAGCTATTTTGGCCAGAGGGCCGCTTACTGAGTTTTGGCAAGCCATCGAGGGCCGCATGACCGGCAGCCCAGGGCAGATAAATATTAATTTTCTAAATTTTTTTAGGGGCCCCGCAGGCCAGATAGAATGGCCTAGCAGGCCACATCTGGCCCCCGGGCCCCATTTTGCCCAGCCCTGTGCTAGCACGATGGCTCAGCTCCCCAGTCCCTCAGGCTGGCAGTGGGCAGGTGGCCCCGGCGTGTGTGGCCAGCAGCCATCCCTCTCCGTCCCCGCAGGGTGTACAAGAACATGGAGGAGCTGAGGACGAGGATCGTCTCGGGCATCATCTCCCCGTTCAAGACTGACAAAGAGAAGGACAACAACAACAAGGAGTCCAAGCCCGAGAAGACGGTCCCAACTTCCCCCCGCGACTATGACCCCCTGAGGATCCCGCCCCGGCAGCCCCCGCTCAGCAGGGAGCCCCCCTGGTGAGTGGGGTGGAGGGGGCAGGAAGGGGGTGGCAGAGCACAGAGGTCACCTGTGCTGCCTCCATGCACCCGTGTGCCCTCCCAGCTGCCTTCTCAGCCCTTGCCCCATGTCTGTCCACGTTGGCTGGCAGAAGGAGCCAGCGGACATAGTTTTCAGCTGGCAGGTGTGTTTCAGAGTCATGGGGGTGCAGGACCCTGCCACCAGCATCTGTGGCAAGGAGCTGTGGGCAAAACGGGGGGCCGGAGACTGCCCTGCAAAATCCCCCCCCCACCACCTGGGCCCTACAGGACGCTGACCTGTGCGCCTTGCTCTTCAGGCCACAGCACCAGAGTCCACAGGCTCAGGGGCTGGCCCAGTGCCTCGGGCTCCATCTATGGCAATGCTGGCTCCAGGGTTGCAGCCCACTGGAGCTGGGCATGGTCCCAGTCAAGAACCGCAGCCTCCGCTGCTAACACACTCTGCCACGCCCCCCCCTGCCTGCCCCCCCCATCCTCCTCCTCGCGCTGCCTCACCTGCACGCAGCACCCCCACCGGAGCGCACGGCTCTGTATAGCTGGTGTCTCACCTCACAGTCACTGTGTCTTGTGTTGCAGGCCATCTCCCCTGGGCCCCTTTGCAGTGGGCGGAGAGGACCTGGACCCCTTTGGGTGAGTATGGCTGGGGAGATGGGGCGCTCTTCCCACCCCCACAGCCTTTCCGGTGCCCCCTTGGAAGTGAGAGCAGCTGTGTCCTGCTTGCAGTAGGGTGAGATGCATTGGATGCCTCCAAAATCCCTTAAATCGACTTGTGCCTGGGTTTCCCACGTGGATGCCAGTGGGGCAGTTGCTGCACGCAGAGGGCAAAGGACTGCCCTTGGTGCTGGCAGAACCCAGATGTGGTTCTGATCTCATGATGGCCTCCTGCAGTGCCTGAGTAATCAGCTTGGATTCATTTAACATGCAGTAATTCCTCCAGTAAGACAAGGCTGACCATGGAGCTCAGTGCACGTAAGCCTTGCATTTAGCATGTTTCCAGCTGTCACCTCGGTGGCCCCGAAAGCCTGTGGAAGGGAGGAGGGAAGGATTTGCCCCATTCTCTGGTTCCGTATGTGACCCTGCAGCATGGGCTCAGCAGGAGCCTTTGGGCCGGGGCCAGGAGGATGCCGGACTGATGCATCACGTCTGCTGCGTGCACCAGCCTCGCTTGTTGGGGGGAAGCCATCCGCAGTCAGAGAGGAACACAGCCAAACTGGGCAGGGCTAGGAGCAATGACCTCAAGTGGCAGCAGGGGGGAATTTAGGCTGGAGATGGATTTTCTGACTCTGAAAGAGGTCAGGCATTGCAACAGGAGCCCAAAGGAGTTGTGTAATCTCCGTCCCGGGACATTTGCAGAAGCAGGTTGGGATGGTTTAGGCGGGGGTGCTCCTGCCATGAGCAGGGGGCTGGACTACATGCGATTTCGTGAGGTCCTTTCCTATGATGCTACACTAGAACCAGCCCCTGGAAACACGAACCAGCTCCTCGCTGCCCCAGAGGCCCAGGATCAGATTTTTGCCCTTTCGGAGAGCGGCCAGGAGGGCTGGAAAAGGGCCAAGGGGTGGATGTACAGTGATCCCAGGCTAAAACCAGACACCCAGTCGGATGTGGCCCTGCGTTGGCTGGCATATCACTCGCGCCCAAACGGGCACGGACAGTTGTTTGCACGCAAGCTTCAGTGGCAATTAGCTTGAATTAGCCGCGACTGTTCCAAAGCAATGCATCGATTTGAATAGGTGCCTAATGCTCCCCGGGCTGTAACATCTGGATTTGAGGCAGCACAAAACGCTCTAATGCGATCAAGCCGGTTGTCTGTTTTTAGCCCCATGTAGCAGCGAGAGGAGATGGGGAAGGCGCCGTGCTCCACCGCTCTCACGAAGCCATTTCGTCTTCAATGCAGTGACCTTTCTAGGAGGCACCGGGTAGAGGTGGTAGCACCGGCAGTTGAGGTGACCTAAGACAGAAGAGGGGTTTCCTTGGGCCTGGGGTCTGTCCACAGCTCATCAGTGTGTGGCGCGGGCCATGCCATGTTTCTGGTCGTGCCAGCAAACACGTCTGTGCCCCTGTACCAGGGCTGATGGGCCCAAAGGCTGCCCTGGCCAGGCCTTAGGAAAAGGGCATGGTTCTCAGCACCCCCGGGCTGCGCTGCATAGCCAGCATGGAGCATGGGCCTGCTTGCACGTGAGAATCGGGACACAGGTCTCACTCATCCAGGTGCAAGCGTCCGAGTACTTGCGTGCGCCTTTCCCCGTGGAGCTGACGCTGACCCTGCTCTCCTTTTCCTTCCCCCTCACAGGGGCCGGCGCGGTGGGATGATCGCTGACCCGCGCAGGTCAGGCTATCCGGTGCCTGGCATCGACCCCTCGTCTGGCCTCCCGAGCCGGCTTCCTCCAGGGGCAGTTCCACCTGGTGCCAGATTTGACCCCTTTGGCCCGCCAGGCTCCAGTGCAGCCGGGTAGGTATTCGGACGGGTGCCAGCCTTGCTAAAGGCAGCTGTTCTGGGCTCTTTGTGCTGGTGGTGACCCAGATCCCTGTGGCCTCTTCCCATTGGCCCATGGATGAGGTTTTGGGGGGGCATAACTCAAATAATAATGTTGTCTCCTGATTTTGCAGGCCCAACCCGGATCACCTCCCCCCTCCCGGATATGATGACATGTTTATGTGAGGCGGGCCGGCCCGCGCTCCCGCCAGAGAGGAGTTACCCCTGCTTACGCGAGCGCCTTCCCCTTGCGCCCCTGTTCGGTGGACTGCAGTCCTTTCGGCGGAGGTGTCCTCCCTGCCTTCCACATCAGCTCTGAGGGAGGTCTGCTCGCTTCCCCAGCCTTCCCCCTGTCATCTCCCAGCTGCCAAAATACGATTGCAGTGTGCTCTGAGTAGACAGCCATCTGGGGTGTTATTTGCCGGGCAGGGCTGTCCAGGCCAGGCATGGAAAGCTTTCGGTCCCCGGGTTCGCTTGGCACCTCTTTCTCCAAGGCAACACGGCCTGATGCTGCCGCTTCTTGCTACAGGTATTTGCTCCTCAGCACGAGCCAGGGGCTGAGCTGGGCTGGAGCAAATGAGTGCGGTGGTTCCTGTTGAGATGCTGTGAGTGGCTGCCAGGAGGGGCCTGTGCTGGGGCGCTTGTGCTTTTCTTCCCTGCCCTGTGCTATTGATTGAGCAGAAGGCTGTGATGGGGCTGTGAGGCCTATCTTCCACCTCCCACCCACGAGGAGGGTTTAATGGGGACATGCCAGCTGGTATCGCTGGATCACTTGGGTTTAAAGGGCACCACAGTAAAACCTGCTGTTAAAAGAAAGGGTCCAGATGCATCCGGGCCCTGGACTGGTGTGTGCAGGTTTGCTGTTCCCTATTGAAGTGGCTTTCTCTCCTCTGGGAAGGCAGGCGAAGGCCATGCCAACGGGAGGGGTGTGGGCTGCAAATGGGGAAGCTGTCTGCTGGACTGAGTCTGGAGCTGGTTGCGTCGTCTCTGGGTGCTGGCAGAGTTGGGCCTTGCCCCTGGGCCGGCACTTGGTGGTACCAGCACAGAGCAAGGGGGCACGTGCAGCTTCTGGGCTTTGTGGGGGTCCAGGGCTGGGTTTGGTTTCGTTCATTCAGGTAGCAGGAGGGCACCTATCCTGGGCACGATCCCTCCGACTTAAATCTTGGGTTTGGGTGATTCTGACCTGCCTTGAGGGACTTCAAAGGCAGAGTCTCACAGATCCTGCTCCTTCCTATCACCACCCAGTTTGGGAAGATTTAAGTTGTTACTTTTGCTGGTTTTTTCTCTCTTGGTTTGAAGATTTTGTTTGGAAAGATCTTTGGGACTCCAATAAAACCCAGTGCAACCCACGGCTCTGGCGCTCCTTGCCCTCTGACCCCTCCCGTGCAAGGAGGTGCATCTTCAGCAGGCCCCACGGCTGGTGGCAACCCAGGTGCCCTGGGGTCCCCTGCCTGCTGCTGTCTGCCAAGCTGGTGCCCGCAGGCTGACCCCACGTGCCTCTTAAAAGTCAAGCCGTGGAGCCATTTAGCTGCATCTATTCCCTTTCCTTGGCAGCCACATCGATGGCATCTTGCCAAGTCAGCGTGTGGCTGCCCCTTGACTCGTGCTGGTCCTAAACACGGGTGCAGAGGAGCAGCTGCTCGCCATGGCCGCATCCTGGCTCTGCACAGGGGTGCGGGTGCTGGTAGGATCCAGCACTGTGGCCAGCTCCACCACCATGTGCCCACCCCCAGCAGGCTCAGACCTGCCTGAGACCCTGCCTGGTAGGTGTGAGCAAGGAGCAGGCTGCATCGGGGGAAGAGGAGGCCAGGCCAGCCCAGCTCTCGCTGGCCCTTCCAGAGCCAGTGCAGTGCAGCAGATGGGCACGGACTAATGCTCGTGCCCTACACACGCGCAGCTGGCGTGGCACCAAGCACCAGATGGAGCCGTGCAGGCAGGGTCTTGCAAGGGGAAATGGGACAGGCAGGGCTTAGGCAGCCCTGCTTCTCCACTGCCCATAGCTGCAGGAGAGCCAAGGAAAGGCTCTGCTCACGGTGGGCTGCAGTATGGGAGCTACTCCCACACTGCCGACCTTGGGCTACCTGGCCAGCAAGGTGCCCATTGCCCTCTCCCCTCCACAGCCAGCAGGCGTGGAAGCTCTGGCAGCTTCCCTGCTGTGGGGCTGCAATGCAGCAAGCATCTGGTCTCTGCTTGGGCCTGCAGAGCAGGAGTGCTCTAGGAAAGCCCCGGCCCTGGGGCAGAGCCCTTCTGCAGTAGGATCGGGCTTTCACTTGGGGATGGGAGCTTTGAAATCTCCCTGCGGCACCCAGGGATCTGCAAGGGACATCTGCACCCCCTGCTCAGCCACCAGCCTTATCAGTCACGACCTGCCTCTGCCGGGGCCCAGCCTGGCAGCCACGTGCATTAATCTTACTCTGCAACCTTTCAGGAGGAGGAGGAAATGCATCCAGCATTGACATGGCCAGTTGCAGCTTTGGGAGAGATGTTTGTGTCCTGGTACCTGTGCCTCTGTCTGCAGTGTTTAACTCCAGCCGGCCTGTCACTCCAGCTGGGGAGGAAAGCAAACCAGGATGGGAAGGGGGCTGGCCTGGCCTCTTGCTCTGTAGCAATCCCAGGTTGGAGCAGGGGCCTGGACAAACCCTTGCACTAGCTTTGCAAAAGGCTGCCTCTATAACGCAAGCTGCTCTGCCAGGCCCACTCCGGAGCCGAGAGGCTGCCTGAGCTGCTCAGAGCCTAGTCCCTTGCTTGCGTCTCTGCCCAGCGTTGCAGACTCACCTGAGCTGCAGGTGGGAAAGTCTAGACCAGTCAGGAGTGTCTTGGCCTGGCACTTCAAATTTGACGAGGCTGCCTGGCTAATTGCTGCAGGACCCAAAGCCTTGGCCACTGGCTGGTGGAAAGCACCCTGCCCTTTCCCCAATCAGCCTCAGTGCTCCCAAGCTAATGACCCACCATCAACCCTGGCTGAGACATCCTAGCAACCTTTTGATCCAGGAAGCAGGTCATCAGAGGAAATGTCCCTGCCACCCCCTGTGCCCAACCGGAGCGTCTTCTCCCAAGCAGACCGGGTAGCAAAGCAATGCAGCTGTGCTGGGGCCTGCTCTGTGCGAACGGCATGAGCTGGTTGGAGAGGTCCTGAAAAGGGAAGGCTCCCTAGCACCTTGCTCCCACGCTACTCAAGGAGGCTGTGTCAGGTGGGGCTGGGGGTCCCCCAGCAAGGACCCCCTGCACCAAGTGCCTGCGATGCAGCTCCCCTTGCTATCAGCATTTCATTTGCACCTGTGGGGAAATGAAACCAGCCTGGGTGGAAAGCTGCTGCCGCTCAAGCCTGGAGCAGCCCAGTCCCCTGGGGCAGCATTTCCAAAGGACAGAACGGGAGCCAGGCCTTCTAGGAAGAGTTTTAATTAGTCCGAGGAAGATGACACAACACAACGGACAGAAGTACAGACACGCTGGCTACAGACCGTCTGGCTAGAATCCCACCCCCTTCTCCGAGCCCCCTGGGGACAGGATGGGATGGGACATACAGTCGAAGATGCGGACGTGGTGCTGGATGCAGGAAGTCCCAGGAGCAGACAGCACCGCCGGTGTCCTTGCATCACGCAGGAGGAATGGAGAAAATATTGCACCTGCTGCAACACAGGATGGTCACGGGGGCAGAGCAGGTATTTTGTTGACTGTTAAAATGATTCTTCCTCCCCCGCTGGGATAACCAAGGCCACTTGTTGCGTTGTCCCCAGGAGGAGTTGGGGAAGACATGGGATTTCTAAGGCAGGGGAATTCAGCTTGCAACTCAGACTGGGACCCAGATCAACTGCTGCCCTGCAAGAAGTGGGTGGAGTGCAATGCCCTGCAATGGTCTGGCTGGTGTCCCAGGCACCATGTGCCATGGTCAGGGAGGCTGGTGGAAAGGAGAGGTCAGGAAGCAATGCTGCACATGTTCCCTGGTCTTGTCACATGCTCCCGTTCCCCCTGGCTGGAGGGGTAAGGCACAGCTCACAGGCAGCACTTCTCACCCATGCGAAGCCTGCAGACAGGGGCCTGGAAGGATGCTCGGATGCCCAGAACCAGCCTGGAGCCGTTGTTGGAGTTGTCACAAACCAAACAGTAACAGCTGCTCCAGCCAGAACTGGGACAAACACGCTTCAGCTCAGTCTGTCTTCTCCCATGTCCTTGGGCCTCTCTTCGGTGGCGGTGCCCCTGGCATGTGTCCTGGTGGGGGCTGGGTTGCTCTGGTGTAGCACAGAGGGGGCCTGAGCAGCCTGCCCTTCTGACCCAGGGCAGGCTCCTGTCTGTCTGCCAGACCCCCATGACTGCTCCAAGGGAAGGGCAGGGATGGACAGTCAGGCCCTCCCACTACTCCTGAGAGCCGGAGGGGCCAGAATCCAGCATACATTTCCTTTCGGCAGTAATCCCATGGCCCCTGGTGCCCTGTGCTGTCCATGCATGGTGCACACTAGTTCTACCACTCCTTGCTGTCCCATGCACATCGGCACCCTCTACCCACCCTTAAAACCCATGCCCTGGACCCCCCCCATGCCACCCACTCCAGCCCCTGGTATCCCCATGCTCCCATGCAGTATAGGCCTGTACCCCACACTTCCATGCAGCAGTCCTGGGCCCCACTTGTCTGCACTCTCATGCTGTCCAGCACCCCAGTACCCACATCCCAGAGTCCCAGGGTGCCCTACACTGCCTAGTAGGGCACATGCACAGTATCATATCCCACCCTGACCCCACTCCCCTCTCTCACATACTCAGTTCTCTTGGAAATAGCCTTTTGCATGGCTGCAAAAATCTTCTCCAGCTCCCAGTGCTAAGGTACCCGCTACTGCAGCAGTTCCAGGTGACACCCTCCAGGATCCAGCTTTATCCTTCACGTGGTACAGGATGTGACAGCCACGCATCCCAGTATGAATCGCCCCGGCGTCACATGTGTAAGTGCATTTGCTGCCCTTCTCCATGAAGGATGCTCTGCTCCACTGGCCACACTTTGGTCAGACAGAGCAGTCTGTTCACCCTTTGCAAGGGATGGGGAATTCCCACGGTGGGAAGTGGAAGGTGCCCAGATCCTGCAGCAGGAGAGCAGGGCCCCTGATCCCAGCTGAGGAACCCCAGCATTGCAAGCATAAAGCACCACCCTGCAAGCTACTGCTAGCAAGCCGATGCACTCAAGCATGGGATGAACATTGCTTCTCTCTATATTCCAGAGGCAGAAATGGGCACATTCAAATCCCTCCAGATTCATTCAGTGGTTGCTGAATGGAGGCACTAGCTAAGGGCCCTCTCCCAACTTCTGAGAATAATCTCCATCCTGCCCTCCAGTGAACACAAGGACATCACCCACGCTACAAGCAACCTCCGCTTCTCCACGCAAGTGGGAAACGATCTGGGAGTGCAACCGGCTCATGACGGTGTGAGGAAGGGGACGTGGGCTCGCTCCCATCTGGAATGGAAAGAGTCACGAGTTCTTCTCAAAGCGCCTCCCAATCTGGCAGCCGGTGGCTTATTCATTTAAGGCAACATCACCTGGGCTAAAGAAAGAAGTAAATCCAGCCTGATCCTTGACTGATGCCTCTGTTAACAGGACTCAGCCCTGCCCCTTGGTGACAAAACAGGTCCCTCCAAGTTCATTTTCCTTCCACTCCCGAGTGTGTTTCATTCTCATGCCCATGAGCACTGTCGCACGTTATTCAGCTCACTCCATGGTTCAAGCTCTCTGTTGCTTTTCTGCTCTGCCCTACAAGTCAAACAAAGCAGAAAAGAAGAGAAAGCAGGGAACAGAAATAAAGCACATGTATAAAAGAACAAGCGCTGGATTCATCGAATCCCAGCAAAATCAGGGGACTTTCTGTGCCCGTATCAGAGGTGATAGTCTACCAGGAATCTCAAGATGCTTCACATTGGCCATAGTTAGAGTTACATTTTTAAAGCACTCTCCATTCCCAGAGATTTTAGAAGCTGCAGCCTCTCTCCTCCTGAATACGCTCCATTCATCTTAAATATTTATGCTTCGATCAAGGGGATTTCTTTTTCCAGTTCCCCATGCCTTCTTAAGGGATAATGCAGTAATACACTGACAAAGCAATGACAGCCTGAAGCCATTAAATTCTCTTCTTAAACAGTCTTACATTATAATACAAAAGGAGCCCGTCTCATACTCACATTAACCAGGTGTTTGGCAGATCTAATCTCTTAACAGGTTCGGCCCTTCATCGTGTAAGCAGCATTTCACTGTGTTTAAGAGATGGTTGTCGTGTCATTTAGCAGCGCTGTTCCCTGCACTGGGCTCCTAGACACCGAGCGGTGAAATGCCAAGGGAGGGGGGGTCTTTCGTGTCCCTGGAGAGGTTTATTCTTTCATCCGGACATCCATTTGCGGTGGATCCTGCTCTGACAGCAGCTCTACTCTAAAAGCCCTTTGGCAGACTCCGACTAGGGCCAAATCCCTGTTTGCTTTGCTGGCACCAGCCCAGTCCTGGGAGAACAAGGGTCTGCTGCTCTCACCGAGCCTGTCTGCACCCTCCTGGCAGCTCCAGAGAGCACTCCTGTCTCGCACAGACGGCAATGAGTGGTGTGCGGAGCACACAGTGACATCCGACCCGCCGGCTTTGTTGCATTGCAGGCCCCAGCCCTGGACAACACTTCCAGAGCGAGCCATGCATAGCGGGGGCTTCCTCCTGCTCCCCGTGCTAGCAGCTGAAGAAGGCCGCGCTCCGGGTACTCGAGATTGAGCTATAACCTACTGCAGACAACAGAGAAGCTCTCTGACGTTAGTGCATCTTGGGCTCAGGCTGGCAGTCATTTTTTCCCAAACCCTTGAGGGGAGAGCTGAAGGGCTCTGCACACGACATCCTGATTTCTAGATGCTGGGGAAGGATCCAGAACTGCAAGGGATCTGCACCGAGCTGGCTGAGAGGATACGGGACCCAGAACTAACTTCAGGCGGTGACAAGGAAATGCCAGGCTGGTCCCGAAGACTCGGAAGCAGCTGCAGAAGGTGCGAGCCCCGGGAGACTCACCTAGTCCAAGCCCCGCACGCTGCAGCGTTCATGCCAGGCGCTCTTTTTCGGGCGCAGCCTTTGGAAGCTCGTCTCGACTCCGTGTGCGGGGGTGCCTGGCGACCAGCTCCTCCAGTCCGTCCTGCTCTGTGTTTATTAGTGACAGCAGCGCACTGCAGACATCACCTTCACTCTTCCTGCGCCTCCTCGCAGAGCGCTGCGCCGCGTTTCTGCTCCCCACCCGAGGTCCTGGCTGGGCTGCGTTCCTGCGGCAGCCCCGTGCCCGGGGCCGGCCGGGTGCAGAAGAGCAATGACACGGACCTGAGAAGGCCGGGGGCGGCGGGGGGGCAGAGGTTATGTCAAGGGCCGGTTGCTCTGTCAAAGCAGCTCCTCGTCTGGTGGAGGGCGGACGGGCGTCCCGGCTCTGGGCTTGCTGGTGCACTGGGCCGTGTCTCTGCCCCCGCGGGACCTCGCCGGGGTCGCTAGGGGCGGC